ACCAGTTACTCCTACCACTCCTGGTAGTAATACAAATGCGGAGGCAGGTGATCCTGTTAGTGCAGAAGTGGATAAGCATCTAAAACTTTTCCAGAGTTTGAAACCTCCATTGTTTAAGGGAGGAGTTGATGCTAGAAGTGCTGAAGACTGGATCATCAGGATAGAGAAAGTTTTAAAAGGAATGAGATGTCCTGATAATAGACGTGTATCTCTGGCAATCTTTTTGCTAGAGGGTGAAGCTGAAAGGTGGTGGAGGGGACAACAGTTGGAAAAATTCAGAGGAAAATCTGAGGAACAAATTATGTGGGAGGAATTTGAACAAGTATTCAGGGATTGGTACGTTCCTCCATCAGCGAGACAAGCAATGCAGGAGAATTTTATAAATTTAAAGCAAGGAGCAAAAACTGTTATTCAGTATGAAGTAGAATTCACAGCTCTGTCTAGGTATGCTCCTCAGCTTATCAGTACTTCTAAGGAAAAGTGTTACAGATTTTTAAAAGGATTGAGAGACTCACTGAGACAGCCATTAATTCCTCTTCGTATAAAAGATTTAGCTGAATTAGTGGAAAGTGCCAGATTGCTAGAAAATGATATAGAAATGATGAAACATAAATGGGAGACTAAAGATAGAAAGAGACAATTTGATTATAGAGGTGGATCATCCAAAAAGCAGAAGTTCAATCAGAATCAACCACAACAGTCTATGAGATTACCTATACTACCAGTTTGTACAACCTGTGGAAAATCTCATCCAGGGAGATGCCTGATGAATTCAGGAAAGTGCTATTTGTGTGGAGAACCAGGTCATATTAAGAGGAACTGTCCAAGGAATGGTCAAAGAGGCACAGAAATTAGAGGCAGTCAAAGGACAGATTATTACATGGGTGCCAGACCACAGATGAATCAACCTGCTTTGAAGATAAAAGGAGAAACCTCAAGTGAAGCAGTCAGATCAGCACCAGCTAGAGTTTTTGCTTTATCTTCCCAAGAGGCCAAAGACTCTTCTGAGGTGGTAACAGGTACTTTAACTATCTCAGATTTACCTGCTAGAGTACTTTTTGATTCTGGTGCGTCACATTCATTTATATCTGAGATATTTTGTGAGAAAGTAAATGTGGAACCGGTCTCTTTTAATCCTGGATTACATGTTAGATTACCTACGGGTAATTATTTGAATGCCAGTACTAAATGCTCAGTTGAATTTATGATAAATAGTAGAAGATTTCAAACTGATTTGATAGTACTCCCATTAGTGGAATTTGACATAATCCTAGGAATGGATTGGTTAGTCAAGCACTTTGCAACTATTGAATGTTGGAAGAAGAAGGTCAGATTTGATTTGCCTGAAGAAGAAGTATTTTATTTTCAATGTGAAAGAGGAGTAGTTTCTTCCTTGATTGCCTTTAGTCAAGTGCTTAAAAGTCTAAGAGCTGGTGACTTAATCTTCTTATCAAAGTTAGAAGCAATTAAAGCGGAAAGTAATGATATATATTCCATTCCTATTGTGAATGAATTTATAGATGTTTTCTCTGAGGAATAGAAGGAATTACCTCCGGAGAGAGAGGTTGAATTTTCAATTAATTTACAACCTGACACAAGTCCTATTGTCAAGGCACCTTATAGAATGGCAACCAAAGAATTGCAAGAATTGAAAGGTCAGTTGGCTGAACTGATTGAGAAGGGTTT